TTCAAATTTATTGGCGCACCTCTCGCGTACCTGAGCTGTCTTCTTTTATAATTTTATTTTTTAATATTTTCCAGCAGAAAAAGTTTAGGCATTTTTTTATGCATTAAAATTGTTTTGCAGCGCATTTACGAGTATATATGTTTGTCTTTCTTATTTATAATAAATAAATTTATAATAAATAAATATATGCTTGATACTCATGCGCCATCTCGCAAAAGCATTAAAAGCAAATAAAAATATTTCTACATGCACATATGGCCACTCCATATTAAACGTAACAGGCGTCTGCGCAATGATTGTTGTCCAAATCCGCTGAAGCGTAGGCAAGATCAGTCTAAGTCATCGAAGTCCTACAACGAGAAGTCCAGGAAACGCGCTGTATGCAAGGGTTCGGACCGAAGGGCAATGGGGATAAGATGTGAAGGTTTTAAAGAGCATGCAAAGAGATGGTTAGTGTCATGGTGAGTCGTATTGCATGCGGCACATACGCTTGGGTAAATAGTAATTCTATCAGCTACAACATCCAGATCTTAATTGTGATAGTAGCTCTTCGTCTGCAATGGGTGTTGGTTTGACTCCGAGAACGCCAATCAGTGGAAGAGTTCAGGAAGTTGTCGACAGACTCTCTCTGACAGCCTGTCGGTAAGCTGTCCTTTCCAGCGGTTCTTGTGCATGATGCTGAATGAAGCCTTTGTGGTCATGTATTACTTTCCTAATTCGCCTAGGTGCTGACTCGGCTACTAGTAAATGTCTGCACGAGATAGCTTTTACTTGCAAATCTTAGCATTATGCTCGTGGAGACAGTAGTCTACTTTACTACACGACCTGCAGCCGGCATCCTTCCACGAATCCAGACTGCTTCAAAAAATTCATCACAAAATCTGAAGATTCTAAATACTAAAAATTGTTTTTTGACGCCTAATTAAGTACATTTAAGTCTGACAAAAATTTCGTTAACCGCAATAACTTAATTCTCTTTCAAAGAAATTGACGAGAAAACGCTTCTCATGGGTTTTAAGGGAGACTACTGCCCAGCACAGTTGCATCGCCATGCAAGCGATGTTCTGGCGACAACAGGAGGTTTCCAGTCCCGGTGTCGAGAACCTTGTTTTGGCAGGCTTGTAGCTTTTCCAACTACATCACGCCAATGCCCGTCGTCCAGATCGAGGCAGCACAGTTTACGACCGGTTGGCCAATCGGTTTGTATGTTGCCAATAACGTTTCTTTGTATTCTCCCAAAGTGCTGCCGGCTAACATTTTGAGGATTTTGTTACAGCTCTGTAAATTTATGGCAATCGCAGTGCTTTGCAGAGTGAAGTAGTGTAGACTGTCCCCTGTGACTGGCTGGGACTCCGAGTAGCTTCGGTTTGTTGTTAATTATCGGAGTTTTTACGCCACCGACTTTTACATCGAGTTCCAGTTAGTACTCTTTCGTCCTGCTGGTAAAGAGGATGGCCGAGGATTTCGCTGATTGTAGCTGTAGTTGTCATGGAGTGAAGTATTGCCAAAGGTTGGCGAGATCACAGTGTACAGTCGCACATACATAAGTCATCAATATCCTGGCCAAACGCCAATATCGAGCAATCATCGGCATATGGGATCAACTGCGTGATGATCTTCAATTTGATCGTAATTCGGCAGGTTGTTTAACTTCATGCTAGAACTAACAGACATCGATGTGAATTTTTTTGAATATTTCCCCGTAGTTATGGGCGTGTCATAGTTTTTATTCAAATAAAAAAAGTCTAAATAAAAAAAAAACTTTTTTGTATGAAATTTGTTAAAACTGTTACTAAATATATGTATGTATGTAGTCCAATGCATTAGCTATCGTATAACAACAAGTCGGTTAACCGTTAGCCAATTTATAACTAACTTTATAGGAGAACCTGCGTGATTTGCTCAGATATTGCGACGCTCATAACTACTAAGAATCACTTTTTTTTTTAAAATTCACGGAGATTTCGCTCAGTTTTAGCATGAATTTAAACGATTTGCTGACTTTCGGCCCAAACCGAAAATCACTGCCCCGAAAATATGCATTTTTGTTACATTTAATAGAGAGTGGCCGCGTAGGAAGCAAAAAAATTAAATTTTTTTTAAATTATTAAAAAAAATTTTTTTTTTAAATTATTAAAAAATAATATTTTGTTAAATTATTAAAAATAATAATTTTTTCAAATTACTAAAACAAACTTTTATAATTAAAATGACGGCCTTTTTATCCTCAAAAAAAGAAAAAATATATTTTATTGGTATTTAATTTTTTTTTTAAATTGTTAATTTTATTTTATTGTTTTAATATTAGTTATTAATTTAAATTATTTTAATATTAATATTATATATGTATGCTTGTATGTATGTATGTCTTTTATACATTAGGATTACATTACAATATAGCTTTTGTTAATTATATTTTTACGCTGTTCTAATTAAAGTAATTAAAACGAAATTATATTATTCGGCACATACATACATATAATCGTGTATCTATGTAAGTATGCAGCTATGTGTGTTTTGGTCACATATGCATGTTTGTACATATGTTTAAAATATTTTACTCTCTGGAATACAAAGCAAATTGTGTGTGTGCTTAGTATGTACATATGTTTAGTAAATATATATGTATATGTATACATATGTTTATTTGTATGCAGTAAGTTTAATTAGTAATTTTGCATTAATATTATTAATATTAAAGTTAAATTTACTTTTAAATTAAGTTGTTTATTAACAATATTATATAAATATATTTATAATTATAAATTGTTGGCTTGGTAAGTCTGATAATTAAGTAAAATTAAATTTAATATTTAATTCAATAATTACAATCATACATATGCATATGTATATGCAGTTGTTTTAGGTATAAATTATAAATTTATATGTGTTTATATACATATATATATAGCTTAAATAATTTTGAATATGTATAATATACATATATAAATTTTTTTTGTTTAATTTATATAATTATAGTAAATAGATACATATATGTAGGTATGTGAAAATTATTTACCTTCAATAAATTGTAAATGGAAACCCTTTTGCAGTGGCGCTTCTCTATATATATTTCATTTTCTTTTTCTCTTGTTTCATATGCACAAATTTTGGCAACAGCTAAACATTATTAAATTTCCTTTGCTTGTACTTTATATGAACTTTTAAGTGCGTGGGAAGTTTTTATGTCTCTTTGTAATCAAAATATCTGGACAAATTCCAATCATTTTTAGTTGTTTGGTGTGGCGGTTTGAATGCTTGTGAATTATAGCAACTCAACTGCATGGCTTGACTAACAAAAAGCAAAGAAAAGTAGTAAAATAACAACAAAAATTATTAATTTCATTAAATTTATATTATTTTTGTTTCTGTCAAAAATAATTTTACACATGGACTTAAAAGAGCGCCAGTGCGTCAATATGTGTAAATTGATGAATAGTTTTATTCAATATTTCACACCATAACTGGTGAAACTCGCCTTAAAATCGAGGGAAGCTCAACAATCTGTCGGAAATTTGCTCTAGTACCCAAAAAAAATTTAAAATTTTAAAAATTGCATGGCGTAATATTCGTAAACTAAACCAAAGGGGTGATTACCAACAAAGCGTTGTCGATATTAAAAAAAAAAAACAAAAAAAAAAGGTTTCTTTTACATCAAGGCAACGCAACGGGCCACATGTATTGATTTTCGAATCGCACGCACATTCACTGTATACGCCAGGGTTTACTACCAGCGACTATTAACTAAGCAACTCTCAAAATAAGAAAAAAAATATATAGGTATATATATCCTCGAACGAGATGATTATAACTGAAGCTGAAGGCTACTTGTTTGAAACAAAATATAGAAATATATAATTTTAGCTCGCCGCAGGTATGATTGTGGGAGGAGTTTTTTTTTGGAGATTATGTTGATGAATAAAGCCAATTTTGAAACAAACAAAAAAGCTTTTTCCGGGCTAGACCCGAGACTTTTCTTTCAGCTCATATATTAGTCTCATAGAGACTAAGAGATTAAGCTTACTTTTAAATTACTAAAAATTTATAAGCCCAGTTTTTCGAACAAAAGTTGCTAGGTAAATATTACTGAGCATAAAAATTAGCACAAGAACAACAAAAATTATGCAAGTTTTGCAAAATGTACAAAAATTTTTATCGCAAAATTCTTGTATTTTTGACTTAGTAAGTTCATGCAGTGCCAGCAAATTGTGTCAAACCGTCTCCGCCGCACCGAAACAATTTTTTTAATAATTTTTCAACGACTTTTCTTTGCCATAAAACGCATTTTCCAAACAATTTCCTCAAAAAAATTTGGCAAATTTGCACAAAAGTTCACAAAATGATTACTCTAGCTAATTTAGATATATTGTATACGCATATATAAATAAATATACATATAATATATATGAATAAACATATATGTATATGTATAGATATACATATATATAATTGGCGCTTTATAACCTCCGAACAGATTTAGGGGCGTAAATAAAATTCGAAAAATAAACGCCAAAATATTTAATAAATCTATTAAGACTGTGCACAACTGGGAAAAATACACAATTAAATTGTACTAAACGTAAGCTAATAGTTAATTTAAATTATTTGTAAATTATTAAAACTTGCAAGTCAGCATTAAACGCACTTAAATTGTTGTGTAAGCACTTATATGTCGCTCTCTCTCTCTCTCTCTCTCTCTCTCTCTGTGTGTGTTTTACACTTTTTACAACCTTCGTAAATTCTTGCTTAACACACTTATTTTAACATTCATACCACAAGAAAATATATAAATATATATTTATTATAATAAACAAATTTAATTTAACTAAATTGCATTAAATACTTAACAAAACTTATATATAATATAAATACATAACTACATACATATGTATTTGCGTAAGTATGTACCTATCAATTGCTGCAAACTTAACGAATAAACAAATATACAAATTGTGTCTTCAAAACAAGAAAACAAATACAAAATATTGTAAAACAAATTATTATCTGTAGTTGTGTGCAAGTATATATGTATGTGTGTATTTTTCATTAAATAAGGCGGCATATAACAGCTATTTTTCCTTTCATCGACTAAATTTAGTCAAGTTATTTTTTTATTTATTTATCATATAAAAAAAAGTGTTCATATGCACATAGCGAATTCGCGTATGCTTGTATGTTTGTAAGTGTGTGTGTTTGTGTTTGTACACATATAAAGCAAATTAATATTAAATTACATTTAGTTAACTTACGTTTGGTCCAAAACATTTCTACAACAGTTTACAATTTTCCAACGTTACGCTTTTCTGTGACTTAAATTAAGTTTTCCTGCTTTGTTTTTGTCAATGCTTTTTACTTATAATATAATATTAAATGTTATTGTTGTTAAATATTAATTATTTGTGTCCAGTTAATTTGCATTTGTATAATAATATTATTATTAGTTTTTAGTTTTTTTTTGCTTAAGTTCAAGTGGAATTTAGTTACACGCCTATAAGCGCTAAATGGACGTAAACGCTAAAAGTTTCTAATTTTAATTTTTTAAATATAATTAACTTTATTAATGGTATTAGTTATTAGCATTCTGATAATTATTATTACTTTATTATAATTATTATTTTTGCATATTTGTTGCGCTCCTTAAAAATAGAGTTGACACATTTTCCGCCCGATTTTCTTTATAAACTTTTTTTCTACCACTTTTCGTTTTGCTTTATTTTACAAATTAGTTTATTAGTTGCCTTTTACATAGTTTCCTCGTTTCTACTTTAGTTTCAATTGTTTTTGTTTGTTTCTTTGTTTCTTTGCTTGCTTTACATTTTATTATTCATAAGCTATTTTCACCTTTACTTCTTCTACTTCTTCTAACTACCTACTAGTGCTGCTATTATTACCGCTACTGCACTAGGAGTTATTCTCACAGTCATCAAGTTTGTGCTTCATACGAAAATTACTCAATAAATCGGCGCAATTATTGACCATCATTAGATAGTCGCCATTGTCGAGATTCGCCTGTTCAGTGGTTGTGTAGGCGTGACTATGTTGTGTGTGGTTTTTGTCATTTCTGGAAAGGAAAATGAACAAAAAATAATAATTTTATTTATTCATATATATGTATATAGTGCAAATAAAAAAAAAGTTTATACATATATATAATTAAAAATGAAATAATAATTAAAGTTAAAAAACTAACTTAAAAAAAATAAATAAATAAAGTAAAAAGATATTGAAGAAATAAAAATAAAATAATAATTAAATATTATATTTTAATAATTGAAAAAGTAAATAAATTGAAGGAAAATAAAAAAAAATGAAATATAATAACTAGAGCTTTTGAAAAGAGGAATTATTGTAGTGTGGAGTGCGTCTTTGCTAAAACATGCCTAAATGTAGGCAATATTTTCAACGAGTCTAAGCTTAGCAGCTACCAAACAAGCGAGCGGGAATCGGAAGTAAGAAATAGTATCTTTGGTCGCTCTGAAGAGAAATTTTTGAAGATTATGTACATAAATAGTGAGAATTATCGATATGAGAAACATTTTTTTTCTTTTGGATATACAGTAAATGAAAAAAAAATCGGGTTTATGCAAATATTTTGGTGATTGGCATTTCACAAACTCGGAAGAAGGGTTATGAAAGGTTAAACTGGCTCACCACGGGCTTCTCACTTAGACAAAAAGCTTGGAATGAATTATGTGGTTTTGGCGGCTCTCTGTCCTCTGTCGGTTTGTTCGTTGCCAGCAAAATCCGCTATGAAATTTGTTACCTTAGGAAATTTTTTTAATAGAACCTTCCAACATAACTCAATAAGGAAGGGTATGGTGGACTACATACCCAATGCTTTATTCGAGTATGGCGCAGAAACATACGGCCCAGCGGGACTAACAACATCTACACAGATGTATCGAAAATGACTGATGCATGCAGTGGGCGACGGATGAAAATTACTCTGAGCTAGTTCACATGCTTTTCAAACAGTATTTTCCAAACGAAGGTCTCCGTAGTAGGGAAAGATGTTGAGACATCTAGGAACGCAAAGAACCACACGGAAAACATCAGCATTAATCTCACATCGTGAAACGTCAAAAAATTTCCTCAGAAGCAGCGAGCCAGAAATAGATAAGATGCCTGTAGAGAAGCAATTACAAACATATCTAATGGATTTCGGTACAAAAGGGATTTTGTAGGAATGAAATGACTGATAAATATCCAAAAGTGGCGACCTAAAAAGTACAGGAAATTTAAATCCCCTTAAGACTTCTACAATGAATTTTCTAAGGCAGCTGGAAGACGGATTAGAGCAAGACGCTAAGAGCCTGCAGCCAAGGAAGGCACATCCACTATAATTTATTTCCCACGCGGTCCGGAAAGGACCTTATAGCGGCCTTACAATCAAGCGAGAAAGGCTTTAATGCTGTGACCCATGCACATGGAGAAGGGCGTGAGTGAAACGTTGGAATAGCTTCTCTGAATCTGGCAAACTCTAGCTACATGTCGTTTTAGAAATCTAGAAGATTCACAGGTCGATAAGGAAAGTTCAACTCAACAAATGCATTGCAACTCATTGCTGGTTCTGTTACATTCCCCAATGGAAGATTAGAATTTCTGTGTTATGGGATTACAGGATTATATTGATTGATCCATATTGAGCTGATTTAAAAAACAAAAATAAAATGTCAACTGTTGAGATTGGATTATTCAAAAACCGAGAAAAAAGGACTGTATTGACAAAGGAGCCCACACCTTCCGATAGCTCGTACAAAAATTAACAGACATCAATCGGGAACTGACCTTCAGACTAGATTATTATTTGTCTCACTTCTTCAAAACCATTTGAATGATACGAATTTCGAATACCAAAAGTTTGTTACAAATGAGTAAATACCCGTATGTCTAAGTACATATTTCCACAGCTTTAAAAATGCCATTTAAAAGCAATACAGATCTCAAACTCTTTTCTAACCTCAAACTTCGCTTTAAGTCGAATTTAAAATAATAAAACCAAATAATAAAACAAATTACCTGAGGAAATCTTAATAAAATCACCACCAATTCCATGCCAATTCACTTACTTATTTTGTGTAATGTTTGTCAGCATGTTTTGTGTCATGATCACAGCATTCTCCAGTTCCTTTAACATCAGTGAATCTTCACAATTCTTTAAATTCGCATGCAATTGCATGACAGTTTGTGTTGTTGTATATAAATTATTAATTACATTGTGCACTTGTGATTTTGCTAAACGAAAGAGAAAGAGAGAAGGAGAGATGAAAAACAATTAATAAAAAGTTATAAAATTAAACTCCAGCGAACTTACGATCACTGCCATCTAGTGCGCCAAATTCAGGCGCCTCAAATACGCCACGTTGCTTCATCACATTCGGACTATTCAGTACTTTCGCCTTATGATCAAAAGTTAAATTACGCGGGCGTGGTGGCACTATTGGTTTGGAATTCGACGTACCGGCAGGAGTTTCTTCCGAACTGGAATCGTCTTGTAGCGGTGCGGCTGAGGGTTTGAAAGAGGGCAGAGATTTAGTAAAAAAAAAAAAAAAACAAATATAAATAAATATAATTTTAAGCTAAGAATTTCAAAATATTGGAAATATAGGTAAAAGAAATTTAATAAAATACTAAGAAAAACATAAAATTATTCCTCACCATTGCTGAAATTTGGTTGTTGTACCTTTCGTCGATTGTTATTTGTATTAGAATTCTTATTGGCATATTGACGGTTGGTTGCTGTAAAGGAAAATAGTTTTTTTTAAAATTATATATTTAAACTTTTGTTATCTCAACACTCACCAGTCGGACCATTAGTACGATTTTGACCATTTCCACTGCTTCGACTGCGATTGTTATCCTCATTTTCAGAATCGCTCTAAAGAATAAAGAGATTTGATATAAGTTTTATTTTGAATAGTTTATTCTTTATTCTTATATTTGTTGCAAGGTTGGTCATACCGCTTGATTTAATACACCAATGGATGAACTAGATGCACCCAATCCACTAGTGCTTTTCAGTTGCAGGCTATTTCGCTTATTTGCTGATCTCGTCGTTGTGCTGTTACGATAAACTATGCCGGGATTCTTTGATTGACTACCATTTATCTTGCCAGCTGAAAATAGAAGACGCATTTCAGTAATGTTTCTTTTTTTTAACATGAAAGCAAAAATACTTACCTTTACCCGCATTACCCATATTTCCCATATGCAGGTCACTGAGCGAACAAGAACGACGCATTGATGAGTCTTCGATGGGCATGGGTAATAGACTTTTTGGATTTCCTGCAAAAGAAGAGAAAATAGAAAATATATTACTAATAAAATAAAATAAAATAAAATAAGGAGAAAAACCAGAAATGAAATGTAAAGAAAATAACATGAAAAAATAAAATATATATAAATTATAATAAATAATTACATAAAAAAAAATTTATTAAAATATATCAGTTATAAAATATTAAAAAAAAATTTTATGAAAGAAATAAAATAAAATAATATCAAATAAAATAAATAAAATAATATCAAATAAGATTAATAAAATAATATATGTAAAATAATTTAATTAATTTAAAAATAAAATAAATAATTTAAAATAAAATAAAACATATAAAATGAAATTAATAAATAAATTCCATTTGAATTAATGAAATTAGAATAAAATAAATTATAAATATAAATATCAATCAAATAAAATATAAATTATTTAATTGGAAACCTGACATAACATACAAAATAAAAATTAATAAACAACATAAAACGAATTAAATGAAATTAACACACAAATTAAATAACATAAATGAAATAAAATAATATCAATAACATAATATACAATAAAATAAAATTAAATTAAAAAAAGGAAAATAAAATAAAATTATTATTTAAATTACTATTTATTAAAAAAAAGAAATAATAACAATAAAAAATGAAATAAATTAATAAGCTTAATTTAAATTAAACAAAAAATAAAATTAATAAAAAGAAATAAAATAAAATAAATTAAAATAAAATAATATAAATAAAATAACATTAGGCTGCATAAAATATGTTAAAATAAAAAAAAATTGAATTTAGTTCGATGGAAGGAAATAAAAAAACATGAAACAGATAAAAAAATTTATGATATAAAAATTCAAACTAAAAATTTATTAAAATGAATAAAATAAAACAAATAAAATGAAATTAATTGTAAAAAATTAAAAAAACATCAAATAAAATGAAATGATTTCATTAATAAAATGAAATAACAGAAAAAAGCAAACTTAAATTAAAAGTAAAACAAAGCAAAAATAAAAAAAATTAGTTAATTTAATTAAAATAAAATAAATTAGTTTTAGAAATGTAATATAAAATAAAATATCGAAATTAAATGAACTAAAAAAACGACAATAACAAGATAAAATTTAATTAAGAAAAATAAATTAAAAAACAATGAATAAAATTTAATAAAAAAAAAAAATTATTAAAATATGAAGGGGAAAGTTGTGAAATAATTGAAATAAAAAACAAATTAATAAAATAAATTCAATTTGAATAAATTAAATTAAATTAATTAAAATAAATTAAAAGGTGTGATATGATCCAAACAATAATATTTAAAATAAAATAATCTAAATAAAATAGGGTGTACAAGTTTATTAAAATAAGAACAACTATGAAAAAATGTCGAATGATTAATTGTTCCTAAATAAATAAAGTGAAAAACGAAGTTATATCAATACAAAATGTTTCGTCGTTTGCCGGGTGTACTGATGAAGGTGTTTACAGAAGTGGAAATGAATGAACACAACAACAAAAATATACCACCAATTCAACCAAAATTCAATTCAACAATTGCAGCTGAAAGCTTAAACCGTAACAAACAACTAGTGCATCAATGAAAAATTCACAAAAAAAAAAATATTTGCGCCATAAATTCCATAAAAAAAAATCGCCATGAGTGATAAAAAATGTGATAAAAAAAATCCAAAAAAAAAAAAAAAAATACACATGTAAATGCACACAGCAAACCTCGGTCCTTTTCACCGCAATCCAAACGCATTTTCTCACTTTCATGTTCGACCACATCTTCTGCAGCCTCCACATCCGAGTCGGCCTTCACCTCCTTGGCCAGCTCAACTTCATCCTCATCCGTGGAAGAGCAATGCGTAGCCGGTGGTGATTTTCCAAAGAGATCGGTACGTTCCAGCACATCAGGTAAGCTGATGTTACGTTTTATGTGACGCGCATAGGCGCACAAATCAGCATCATTACTATCGGCGCGTATGCGACGCTGCTCATTCTCAATGTCCTTTTCAATACCCTTGGCCAGCATATCGAAATTCATTGTCAAACTCTTCACATAACCTTTTTGCTTGGAGTTGCATTCGAAGGGACGCATGCGCGATTCGGTGGCTATGCGTATTTGCTCGAGCTTACGTTCTTCCATTTCGATTAATTTTTGTATGATATCGATTTTCTTAGCAATATTTTTACATTGATTGCTGGTGGTTGTATCCGCGGCGGTTGTTCTCTCCACATTCGTCATATTCTTCTTATGCTTCGCGTCCCGTTCACGCTCTTGCTGTATCTCATCGACCACAGCCTGGAGTTCGGGCTTTGTGTACAGCTTTAAGCTGTCCATATTCATATTCTCATGCTCGTTGCCATTCTCGGCGATGTACATTTCGAAGGAACGCTCACCGCCATAATCGCTAGGCAGGCTACCCACCACAGGCGGCGGCGATTCAGTATTGCGATTGATGTCATTTAGTGGACAAATCGTGGTCGTGCCATCATCGCACTCAACTGTAGCGTAGGCGGAATAAGCGGATGCAGTACTGCCGCTGCTGCAGGAAGACGAACGCTTCTCGCTAGGGGTATATTTGATTTGCGACACCGTATTGAAACGAACCGCCACTTTGGGACGGCCGCGTGTGCGCATGCTGGTGGCGCGTCGATTGGCAGGCATATTCTTGCTGTTGGTATCGAACTTGGACACCTTCTTTAAGCAGCTGTGCGTGGTAAGGGCACCGCTACTCACAGATGAACGCATGCCGCTCGCCTTCTTAGCCTGAAGCTCCGCTTGCTTTTCACGCTCGAATTTTTGTAGATTACGCTCGAATTTGCGCACAACACTAGCGGTGCGAGACTGACAACGCACATCAGTGGTGTCTACATCGAAGGCGCAGTACTTCGGCGTTGTATCACGTGGCGTACTGCTGGCGTACGATGTTTCAACGCTGGAGGTAAGCGTCGAGACGAGATTTTGTGGCTTTGCGGGTACAGGCGGTTTGGGCTTTACAGCTTTCTTCGCGAAAAGTTTATCTTCGTACGCAATGCGCTCCAGCTGCATTGGGTTTGTGGTGCGCTGTAGACGTTGTTGTGCGAAATCCTGACTTAAGCTCTTGTTAACGCCCGAATTGTATTGTTTATTCTTGGAGCTCAGCGTTGGTATGTCTTCCACTTTCGCGCCAACACCCGGCCGAGGCGAATCGGCAATTCGGGGATATGTTTTCGAGCTGGGCAGCTTCTTTTGCTGTAGTGGCGTTTTTGTGCGTGCGTTCTCCGTTTTAAAATTGTCTAAATTATAGCTGGACATGTCGAAACTCTCATATGGCAATGGTGAGTGCTGCAAATTACGTTGCTGCATGTAGTAATCGAAACTGCCGTATGCATTCGGACTAGAGCCATAAGACTTGGTCACCAACTGTGTCGTATTGGCCGCCGCGGCGCTTACGGGTCCATGTAAGATGAAATTGCGTATGCCAGCATGACGTTGCACTTGTGTTTCCATGGGTGCGCTTTTGCAGTCGCTCTCGTCTGACAACACACTCTCCATACTATTGCAATAGCTGCCATCATCCAGAAACTCATCGGACAGTAGGGACTCTTGACTCTTGCGCTCGCCAAATTGTGAGGTTAGGAAGAAACTGGCACTTGAATGACGCTGTGTCTCAAGGAAGCGCGCTTCTTCCAAACGTCGTGTCTCCGCCTGCTGCTCTGGCGCCAATATATCTGAGAGTGAGACATTGCGATGGCACTGGTAGAATTCCTGATAAATGTAGTATTCGGAGACCGCGCGTTTCGGCGGCGTTACAGCGCCCGGCGAGGTCATTTGGTAGGGTAACGTCTGTACTAGGTGTGGACCGGCAGTAAGTGCGGCAGGTAGTTGCCTGCCCTGCGTTGCATACACTGGCGGCGAAAGACACGACGGCACCGATTGCGATACCACAAGTTGTGAATAGCGTCCGCCCAATTTGGCATCATACAAATCCACGCCGATATCGTCCAAATCGCCATACTTCTTTTGTATCTCAGCGATCATCTTCTCAGTGTCGGCTTGTATCATATCGAGTATCGTGCGTGCATCCTCAGCGTACACTGAGTGTCGCTTCGGTTCGGTAATTATTATACTATTTCTATTATCCGCCGACCATTCAACCTCTTCATGCACTGGCGATACCGGACAGGACTTGTAATGTTTCAGTATGCTTGGCGTGCGCCGCGCATTACCCGCCGGATTACGTTTGACGCGCGAGTTTTGACCTTGTGCTGGCAATGTGGAGCTGCTGAAAGCGCCTGACTGCTTGACAGTGTGCTGTGTGGACGTCTGTGTTTGGGTACGTGGCGTGGCGGAGCGTGAATTGGGTGCCATAAAGGGTACACCCGGTGGTGGATGTATTTGGTGGACGCCTACATGATGTGGATAAGGTGGATAGTGTTGTTGCACTTGACGCATGGCCTGACAACTTTGTTGCATAACCGAACGTGATGCAGCGCAGTTGAAGAAATGTTGCTGTTGCTGTTGTTGATCCTGGCTAAAGGTTTGCTGAAGCGGCGAACGTGGATAATTTGAATATGGTTGAAGTTGTTGCTGTTGCTGTTGTATTGGCAATTGTTGTTCTTGCTGTTGTTGGGTTAATGGTGTATGATAATAGCTAGCGTACTGTTGGGATTCATTAAGAGGAGCTACTGATTAGTTAAGCATTTATTAGTATTTTTAAGTAAAATTAGTAATTTAGCAATAAATTATGTCCAAAGATAACAGTTGGCATGCCGCATGTACGTGGGAAGAGAAAATACGAAGCACAGAGAGAGAGGTATATGTAATGAGTATAACTCTAGGATAGCAGTACAAAATATATTTATCTACAATATGTACATCCATTAGATATGTACTATATTTAACAATAAATGAAAATAAAAATAAACTCGAAATTAATCAAATTGATGCTTCTTAGATTACTTCAATTCAATTCATTTATTTTAGTCTAGTAAAATTTATAGCAATTAAATAATTCAAAATTAATTAATGTATTAGTAATTAAATTTAATTAACTTCATTTTGTTTAATTTTACTGATTTTAATATAATTTATCTCTTTATACTTTTTCATTTATTTAATTGTCACTGAACAATTAAATTAAATTTGGCTTAGTTCGTTTTTTAATTATGATTTTATTTAACTTCAAATTAGTTTTTTGATTTGCTTCTATTAATACGACTAAAATAATTATATACAATCATAGTTAATTATCTTTTTTCCCTTACAAATTAATCATATTTCAGTTTAGTATATTTTTTAATTGAATTATTTCTTATTATTATTTATTTTTTACTATATTTCAATTTACTTAGTTTCACATCATTTCAGTGCATTTCATTTCAATTCAATTTAATTTTATTTTTTGTTTTCTATTATTTCATTTTATTATAAATTGCTTTATTTTATTTTGTTTTTTGTTTTCTATTATTTCAATTTATTTATTATTTATTTTTTTTTTTATTATTTCATTTCGATCCATTTCAATTCAGTTTAATTTCATCTAAATTCACTTCCCTTTTTTTAGTTTTTTTTTATTTGATTTACTTTTTTTTATTTGATTTTATTTGATTTTATTTAATTTCATTTCATCTCAATTCCATTTAATTTAATATAAATTCATAATTTACTTTATTTCAGTTCATTTTTAATTTTATTTTATAAAATTTAACATTATTTTATACTATTCAAGATTATTTAATTTAACTTAATTTTAATTTATTTTATTTTAATTTCCTTTATTTCATTTCATTTTTTGTTTTATTTAATTTTGTTTTATTTTATGTTATTTAACAGTACTTTATTTATTTAATTGCAGTCATTTTCATTTCATTTATATTCAGTTTAATTGAATTTAATTTTAGTTAACTTTTTAGTTTATTTTATTTGATTTATTTTTAAGTTTAGTTTAATTGAATTATGTTTAATTTTATTTTAGTTTATTTTATTTCATTTACTTTTTATTTTATTTTAAATTATTTTATCATATTTAACATTACTTATTTCATTTAGCTTAATTTGGTTTAATTTCATTCACTTCCATTCCATTAATTTCATATAATTATATATGTATATACAATGTTTTTTTATATATAGTTTTTTATTTTAATATACTTTATTTTATTTAACTTATTTTTGATTCTATATTTTGTTTTATTTTATCTATTTTAATTTATTGTCTTATTTTCGTTTTTACTTTGCTTTAAAATTTTATGCGCTTTTTTGAATTTGTTTTGAATTTATTATATTATCTTTTTTTATAAACATATTTTTTATTTTTTTTATTTCGCTCAATTTTATTCATTTTAAAGCAACTGGAATCTTATATGTGCCTGAATTCAATTATGTCATTTAAGTATTTTTTTAATTTTATTTATGTAAATATGTATTAAATAATTTAAAATTTAGTTTTTGCGTTAAATCGCTCTCTTCACTCACCCGTTTTTGCATAACGGTTAACTGCGGCTGTCGATCTCGACGCATTATCCATATTGCCCGCCAAACTCAAATCCGAGATGCTATGACTGCCGCGAAGTGATCGATATCCAACCTAAAGGAAATTAAAAAAATGGTAAATTAAAGAAATTTATTACAGATTTTTTATTCTAGAAGATTTTGTTAAAATGTAGGTAAATATATGTATGTATGTCGGTTAAACATTTACAAAACAAAGCGCTGACATTTAATTACACATTTATTATGGGTAAGTAGGTATGTATGTATATACTATTGGTTAAAAGTTAGTAATGCGACATTTTTACTCTTCACTTCAAGTATCAGGTGAAGATTGTTGAACTTTCTCAACAATTAATTGTTGGGAAATTACGATTCAAATAATTTACTAACTAAATATGTATTGTACATGGAGTATGTACATATGGATGTCTTTCAAGTTTGTTTTTTTCGTCTCTGTTAACCTTTCACTTTGTAGCTGCGTATCGACGTTCGTAATTTATAGTTTGGTGTCGCCTAACAACAGCGTTTTTTATAGCACAACAAGTATCTCTCTTGGCTGTGTTGGTTTATTTCTTATTACGTGCTGTGTTGCGTTGTGCATGTTAAAGCTGAAGTAACTATTGGAGCTATAATCGTGCAGCAAGCATCGGTGGTTCAGTGGTAGAATGCTCGCCTGCCACGCGGGCGGCCCGGGTTCGATTCCCGGCCGATGCAACTTAATTTTTTTTCTTACATTCATTTTTAGTTTTTTATTTAATAATTAAACCTTTCATTAAAAAATTAATTAAAAAATAAAATTAATTAATAATAAAATTTATTAATAATAACATTATTTAATAATAAAATTATTTAATAAATGAGCAAAAAAAAAGTATAATAAAAAAATTAGCAAAAGAAATCTAATAAAAAAGTCATAAAAAATCCAATTAAAAAAAGAACTGAAAATATCTAAAAACAACTAAATAAACTAATAAAAAATACCTAATAAACTAATAAAAAATAACTAAAGGAAAACTAATAAAAAAACGATAAAATTAACTTAAAATAATAAAAAAATTAAATAAGTATTAATTAGAAAAATAAATTATAAATAACATAACAATAAATAAAAAAAATGAAATAAAATATAGAAAAAATCAAAAAATTTTACCGAAAAAATTTATAAAAATTAAGTTAAAAATAATAAAAAATAATTAAACATTAATTAAAAAAATTAATTTAAAGAAATTAAACTGAAATTGTGATTTTATTGGCTAAAAAACAGTTTTAAAAATATATTTTTTTAACATATTTACTGTATATAATTTAGATCAAAGTCAAAAGTTGAATTTTAGGTTTTGTTAATATTTGTTTGTAGTCTGTTATATTTCTTAAAATAGTTGACCCTCAAGTTTTGTAGTGTCGCGTCTTACGTCGTAAACGTAAAATATGGAAACTAAAATAGCATTTTTTCACTGTCTGCTGTCCGGTACTGAATAAAGCTACTTACATGAGCAAGCTGGACAAAGTTCAGTGGACAACCTCCATGCTCTTTATAGGAGTGCTGCCTTCAACTACTACGAAAGATTATGTAATTATGCTTAATTTGTTACGGACAGAAGTTCCAGTCGAGCTGCAGTGCAAGTCCTAATACCGATTTCTACATCATTCTCGGAAGTGGTGGATATGGTATAGTTCTGTTTTTTGTTTTCAAATGGAAAAATCACTTACAATATCCATTGAAGAAGAGGCATACCGACCCCTGTCGCTTATTTTAAGCTGAACTTACTGCGGCTTCATTTTAACTCAACTCTCATACGGTAACTCAAGCTATGGAAATATATTCTGACAACCATGCTGCTTTCTTCATTGCAAACACACCACTTTAAAGGCGGGAATACGATTTAGGGAAATCTTAAACAAACTCTCGACTCCATGTGAAAGGATCGTCGGATATAAAAACATACCAGGAAATTGCGAGCCCGACGACGTAACCCTCTCTTTTTACCAATCAGCAATCCTGCACAATATGCGGGCACATCTTTTGTGTCTGCAATATAACTGCTAGGATCGACCTTCAGCAGTAAGACCAATAGCAGATTAGGCTGCGTGGCTATGCATTGATCGTTGAAAAAAGAACATAACTCTAATCTTCCTATGTGTGGACTGAAGGTAGAAGAATGGGTCACTTCGGTATGTCTAATTGTATGCAAACTAGGTTTTCAGTTTTTGAGATATTTAAATCAACCTAGCTGAGTAGATGTATTTTTATGCAACATTAATTATTTATCGCAACCGGCTAGATCGAGTGGCTATAACATATACAATAGCTCCATACAATGAATTTTTCAAATAATTTAATAAAGCATCTAGGCATACCAAACTTGGTATTCTACTCATGTATATACAAGTAAACATTGACACTGAGAATCATCCACATCGGATCACTATATCATAGAGCTTCCCTACAACCGATTTGTTCAGACGAGAAGTTTTTGTGTCAAAAATCCGTCAACGAACTATCTAAATGCGTGAAATTTGGTATTCTACACACGAATAAACAAATAAACATTGATACCGAAAATCATTAAAATCGCAGGATTTACGAATTTACATAATGAATTTCTATATTTATTTTTTTTTTAATATTCTCAACTATTAACGATTGTTAATTTACACAGTGAAATATTAGAAAATTAGAAATAAAAACTTGTATGTACTGATAGTTCAAATTTCAAACTGCTAACAGAAAATATTGATTAATTGATTAAATTATTTTCAACTTTATATGTATGTACAATAATTTCAACAAAATAAGTTTTGGATACCCCCAAAAGAATTGGCGATTTTTTAAAAGAAAGTAAATACAGTAAAATTTTTAAATTTTTGAATGAACTTTATCAATTATGTAATTTCCATTTTGTTGGATGACATTTCGTCATCTTTCCGGAAACATCAATATTTCACGCTTATAGAACTTCTGGCCTTTGTCTGGAAAAGGCTGAACAAAGTGCGATTTTATACCTTCGTCATTTTCGAAATTTTTACCACTTAATGAGTTCTGCAAAGATTGAAACAAAATGGTAGTCTAACGGTGCAAGGACAGGGCTATATAAAATATATGGTGGATGCATCACCAGTCCCAGCCAAGCTCTTTCAGATTTTAGCGGGTGGCCAAAGATATGTGCGATCTAACATTGACCTGTTGTAATATGACACCTTTACGATTGACCAATTCTGGACGCTACTCATTGATGGATGTATTCAGTTTAACCAGTAGACATTTAAATTAATCGTTTGGTTCCTTGTAAGCCGCTCAAAATATACCACACCCTTCCAGGTACACCAAACTAACAACATAATCATCTTTTGACGAATATCAGCCTTTGAAGTCGTTTGTGGCGCTTCATCATGCTGGGACCGTGATCGTTTTCGATTGACGTTATTGTAAACCAATCCATTTCTCATCTCCAGTTATGATTTACTTCACAAACGGATCATATTCATTACGTTTAAGATGTATATCACAAGCGTTGAATCGGCTTGTTAAATGAGTTTTTTTTTTCAATTCATGTGGACCCCAATATCAAGTGGTGTTTGCCAGTCCAAGACGTCGTATATAATTATCAACGGTTGAATTTGGTATACTTAACTTCTATCCAATCTCACGCTCAGTTACATTATGAACCGTTTCGCTTAAAGCCTTGATATCGTCATCAACTTCACTTGGCCGACCTGAACGTGGCTTATCTTTGAGTTAAAAAATCTCCCGAAAGGAATTTGACAAACCAAGTTCGGCACTGTGTTTCTTTGAAGGCTTTATCACTAAACAAATTATGCAATTCTTTAGCAACTGCATTTTTTCCTTTAAGGAAATAATAAAATAAGATATGGCGAAAATGTTCTTTTGTGGGCTCCCTATTAAAATTGATGCCTAACATTAAAATTAAGCGTACTTTTTTTCTAAAGCAAACTAAAAGTGCCAGTTTATAACTGTTGGAAGAAATTTAAAATTAAATAGTCACAAGTTGTTCAAAAAAATTGTCAACGCCGTCTGTATGAAAAATCGCCGGTTTCTTTTGGAGCAACCTCATATATAACGATTTGAAATACCCAATTACTTAAACAATAAAGCCGATATTAAAGTAACATGCGAATGTGGCCAAAAAAAAGGTATAAATAAAGATGCAATGAAAATGTTGATTATTACTGCAAATTAACAATGAATGCAGGTGCGACGAGAAATGATGGAATAGTGAACGTAATTGAATGTGATATTTATGCTAAATGACAGCCAACAAAGCGATTTGATGTTTGTGTGTGTATGCAAGAAGAAATTTATACAACAATTTTGATGACAAAGTATCGAGGAATATATGTACATATGTATGTATGTATGCATGTATGTTTGCAAGTAGATAGTAGAGATATTCACGAAAAGCGCCAAGTACTTATTAGTCAGCCTCAGTAGTGATTAGTGCGCATTACAGTTATATGTACACTTATTTTTGTATGTTACAGCGTGTGTGTGTGTTCGTTTTAGATATTTCTCACCTCCGGTATTGCATTCAACCTCTTAACTCCATTTTTACGTGCGCCCTAAGCACAAAACGTCGTGTGTGTGTAGGAAGAACCCGTCAAAACAAATACACCAAATCACCAAACAGGTATTTAGTTTTATTTTTTATATTTCGGATTTTCATAATTATTATTGTTTTTTTTTTTATTTATTTTTGATGCGCGTACGTCAATCAAAAACACATTATAGATTGAGAGAGACATACACATGGACATGGATTAGGGACGAAACAAATAATAAAAATATTTATGTCAAAAAAGACGCTCACAAATGCTTTTGGCATAAGAAATGCCTGTATAAAGAGTATGGTTTTTAAATACTTACATTTTCCAATTGCTGTTTGACTTCGCTAATCACCTTGAGCAGCTCATCTTTCTTCGTGCTGGTGAAGGATTTGGTAATTGTGGGTGCAGCTGATGCAGGTTTACCATTCTCCGTATTATGTTTGGCACTAATACTGCGACGATCTGCATTGTTCACATTTGATTAAAAAATTGTTCAAACTGTTTTTTAAAGTCAAACAAACTTACTGGTGCTGCCACGCTCTAGCATGCTGCCAGGACCTTCAGGTAGAGCAGCCTGCAAGAAAGTGCTTGTAGCCTGTGGTATACTCTCCGAACTGCCGCCCAAGGTGGATGCGAGCGAACGCTCGGCATTCTCAGCGCTCGGTGTAGAGCCTTCGTCTTCGGTGTCCGAGGTGCCGGTGCCTGTGCCAGTGCTGGCGGTGTGTGTGCTGCCATTACCGGGTAGCGTGAGACCAGCTTTATCGAATTTTTGGCGACGCATCGATTTACGCAGTTCGTCCTCGTTCATGGCGGTCACTTTGAAGTCACTGGATAGATTGAGAGAAAAATTAATGAGAAATGCGTATAAATTATTGTAATGATATTATCAAAAAGCGCAGTTTTGCACTCACGTTGGCGTGCTGGGTGATATGTTGTTGTAAAACATGCCGTGATCGGAGCTGGTGCGTTCACCGTCTGAGATATCTTCGACGTCACCATCGTGCTCATTGGACTGTGGATCGAATCGCAAACCAGGCTTGTTGCGCTTTTCAGGAGCTAGTCGATTAGCTGTGGTGCCACCATTGCTGCCAGCCACCGTTGGCACAGTACCACTATTATTGCTGCCAATGAATTTCAATTCACGTCGTGTCTCCATGCCAGAATCAATGGACGAATCTTCACTGAGGTAAGTCTGGTTGTACATAATATCCTTGGAGGAAGCGCTATTGTAGTCCGATGTTTGCGTATTACCCATGCCACTGTGAGTCACAGTAACACCCACACCACCGCCAACACCACTCATACCACCCATACCGACGCCACCACTGGACGAAATGGTGCCCAAGGGACTTTCAGAGTTCGAGCGTAGATCATCAGGATCGAAGGCGCCACGTTGTGCCCAACGACCACGCGCACGCGGCACGCCCAACTGACTGGGCGATGAGCTTAAATTGGATGTCGACGAGGCAGATTGCATAGCAGAGACAGTGGAGCCAGGTATGACCACACCACCACCACCCCCACCGCCCGCACTCGACTCATCTGCATTTGTAGCGCCTGCTTTGCGTTTCGCCCATTGCGGTAATTGTCCCACATCGGAGAATTTATAGCCGGGCGTCAGCGCTTGCTCATCCGCGAACATTGATGGCGAGGCAATATACTTTTGTGGTGTCGCAGCGGCTTCTTCCACTTCATGTGTGGGTGATTCGATAATGATGCCCTCAGGCGTTGCTATAATCGAACCAGGCCGGGTTGGTAATGGCGCATGGCCGGAACGTAGTCGTTGTTGTGAGAGGCGTGCTTGCATTGTGACAATCATATCGTGCGGCACTTGCCACACAAATATACAACCATCACCGCTGGCCGATATGAGATGACGACAATCGTTTGTGAATTTGAGCCCGGTTACCAGCTCACTGTGGCCATACATGCGCGCCATGCACTCGTTCGAGTAGTAGTCATAGACGGCGAGCGTTTTGTCTGTGCAGGAGGTGGCCACATAAATGCCACTGGGATCGAGGCTGAGCTTAATCAAACTACCCTCGTCCGAGTGTGAACCCTTAAAGGTTTTTGTATGTTTGGCATTTTGTGTGCCATAGACGCGTATATTACGATCCTGACAGGCGGTGAGTATGTGTTTGGCGTTGGAATCGACCTCCATGTCGTACAACGTCGTCTTGCCCGAGGTATTTGTGCCGCGCAAGAAAATGTTGCCCTGTATGTGGAGAGTAAAGGAGAAAATTTTAGCACTACGAACTCATATTTAAAAAATATTCTTTACCTGGAATGTTCTAAACATAATTGACTTATCTGCACCACACGAAATCATCTGGAAGCTCAAGCCGGAGCCAACAAATCTTATCGAAGTTATGGACGACGAGTGATCGTCCAACGTCTGCAGCAGCAAATAGTCTTGTGACACATCGAAGACGTGTATAAGCCGATCCCGACTGGCACTCGCTAACAGTTTACGTTCAATCTTCTCATTAGAATACTCAAGACACAACACCTCCGACTCGTGTGCCTCGATTGTCATGATAAGTTTTGTGTTCGCCAAGTTATAGATTCGTATATTACCACAACGATCGCCACTCGCCAAATGCTGCAGCTCCGGACTAATTTTAATGCAACGCACACCATTACGTCCATCGTACGCAGTATTTGAGTTTTTATCACCAGCCAAATCTTGATCTTTGATAAAATTCATTTCCTCATCGATGTACATAATCTTTAAAAGTTCCTTGGAGTAGATATTTTTGCGATAGTTTTCTGTATTTGTACAACCATCCAGACCCCACACGCGTATGGTGTCATCGGAGGAGCATGTGACAAACGAGTCTTCGGGCAGTGTGTCCGACAGCTCGCGCTCCATATTGTATGGCACAGTTTCCACGCCCCAAATGCAGGTGGAATGATAGAGGAAGGAGTGCGATTTGCCAACACGCTTAATATCCCGCATGTCCCAAATGTAGAGCGAATGATCGTTGTAAACGCAACTGACCTGGTGAAGACAAAGACAAAGGGAGAGAGAGGGGTGGTGAAAAAGCAATTTTAGATGAATAAATAAAAGTTAACCAAGCTACGAGCTTCAGACTGTTAAGCTTATTTCGACTGATATGCCTCAGATTCTTAAAAGAAAACTCGTACTCTCTATGCGCTATACATTATAGAACAACTCAGACCCGGTAATTTTGGAGAGCTCCTGTGCTAAGCTCAATGTGGCATTATCTAGGTGAGATTAGTCAACCTAACCTTAACTTCCGATACATAGCTACTCGGTCGCTGATGTCATATTCTGACCAGGCGCACAAAACAGACTTCTTGAGGAGACATTTTTTGTGTCAATGATTTTTTGATATTTGAAACCTACTTCATGAGACAAAACAGTCTGTACTGGTTTACGCTGATTTCCTGTTCTTGAAGTCGCAAACCCCAACTGGGAACCGGCAAAGCCTGTCAATTGTGGGCACCTCAAAGTAGCCTTAGGAATGATGGGTTCGGACGAAAGTGAAAGATGTGAAATAACTGAGTCATTTAGAAGTCATGTAAAGAGGTGCTTAGTGTTGCGTGTGGACTCATTGCAAGTAAAATATACTTAGGGTATATCAGAGTCGAGCCTGTGTAAGTGGGTGCCAAACTAATCAAAATCATGGCCGGACGCTAGTAATAAGCAGCTTGGGTTTTGGCATCGATTGAGTTCTGATAAATTGATAAGCTGTCGAAAAAGTCCTGTAGTGCTTTAAAGTGTTTGAGGTTTTACATGAAGAAACAACATAAAGTCAATTTGTAAGCCAGGCCAGTCTTACTCCTGAACTGTTTGACCTCTCACATAAAGCCCATTTGTGGGGAATTTCATTTAAAACCTGTGTCCGTTCCTAATCGAACCTAATGCGAGGGCTTAAAAGTTATTATTGTTGTTGTTATGACTGCTTAATTATTTCACGAATTGGCTTTTGATAAAGCCTTCTCGATAGTTAGCTTGATTTAGAGCCTCGGAGATTTAAAATTTTCATATTTCAACGAACTCTATTGCCCCTACTAATAAAAACTCACCTTTGACCTCTGCTCATCATAAACCATCGCCACACAATCGGGATACTTGGCATGCGGTGGTACGGTCATTATGTGATTGATATGTATACCTTGCGCCACATCGACGCCCAAGTAATGTGTACGCGGTAATGTCGTGACATATTCCAATGTGGCGGCATTAAAAATGCGTATAATGGCTTCGGCACAACCGACGAGTATAAAACGTGCATTCACAGTTAAACAATTAGCGCTAGTCGTACGACATTGCACCCATTTGTCTAGTAGACGACGTGAACTGAATTCAACCAAGTGACCTTGACGGGTAATGGCATATGTGCGATCTTTAGTTTCATCCTTGCCGCAGGCAACCGCACAAAAATCATTATCGCGCAAATCACCCAATATGGCACTGCGACCCATTAACGGTATGGGATCCTTGTACTGCGCGGGAGAGAGAGAGCGAGAGAGAGAGAGAGTGATAGAAAATATATTAGTTTTTGCATTGGTAGCTAATAAGATCTTCAAACTTACCCTGCGGCCACCCTCCATATACCAATATTTGACATGACGATTGCCAACTGTGACAAAGTAGCTGCCATCCTCGGCGAAGCTTAACGCCGATACCTTGGAGCTGATCTTATTCGAGGCCATCTTTTGATTCGACTTCCAATCGAAGACATTCACAATCATATCGTGTTGTGAACCAATGGATACCAGGTACTTGCCGGTGGGTGAGAAGGCCTTTGGAGAGGGAGGAGAAGAATTTAGAAATTACAATAAATGATTTTTTCCACAAAAAATGTATACTCACCACACATGTGACAGCATATTTGTGATCGAAAAATTCCGCCACCACATTGCCGCCGGTGGTGTGCTCGAGATTGCCATTCGGCGAGTCTAGCTCCCAGACTTTAATGGCGGGATTGATACCACACTCGCCGGTGGCGACATAACGGCCGCAACGTGAGAATGCGACCGATGTGAAAGGCTTGCGGGAGGTGTTGACCAGATAGGCTTGTGTTTGACGTTTGGCATTGAAGAGGACCACAGTGCAGCTGCAAAAAAGAAGAGAATAAATTAAATGAAAGTGCAAAAATGCAGTTATTAAAAAATTAAAATATAAGTCACGTAAAATTTAATTATTAATATGCAGTAAAGCCGAACGAGGCGGCTGGCGTGGAAAAGGTCTTCATTAAAAAATCACCTGCTGACTTAATTAGCTCTGTTTGTGCATTTCACTTTAATTTCGCTTTCTTTTTCTTTTTTTCCGGCATATTAAATATTTTGCTGTAGTTTGTGAAGCAAAAGCTATAGAATGCGCAGCGTAGAAAAAGATTAAATGCAAATCCTTTGTTAAGACTGTCGGGAAGGAAGTTCAATTTAACAATTCTCTCACAATGCCAAGCAGCAGCGCAACGTAGCAGTAGTAAGTTTATACATACTCGTATATTGTATGACATACAAAGTGGCAAGCGTAGAAAGAAAGTCGCTGCTGGAGCGTTGGAAACCCCAAGATAGGAAATGAATAAATTTATGAGTAGTAAAAAGAGGAGTAGAGTTAAAAGTTCAAAAGCTTGCCTTGACTTTCTTTCCTCTACTCGTTAGCAATTTTTGTTGGTATGTGGTACAGAAGAGGATTCCAATGAATGAATTTATGTGGTTTAGGTAAAATATTTCGAAATTTGTTAAATATTTATTTTCTTTTATTAAAAATATTTGTCTAAGAAAGCATAAACGGATCTGCTCAATCTATCAATCCAAGTTTTACAGCGCCCTAAATTTAGGCAACGTTTGCAATATATTGCCTACATTTAGGAAGATGCTTACTACTTTTAGCATACGCACCCACCATATCGAAGATATATGGAAATATGATTGAGCAATTCGTGTTTAGCAGAGCAATGCTGATTGGTCAGGCCCAAGCAAACTATAACGAAGCTTTTTCTTTACAAAGATGAAGTTTATGAGGTTATATAGTATGCTAAAATGCAAGTATTTTTTCAGCGCAGTTGATGGCAAAAGCAAAAACTCGGGCCAAGTAGAAGATACAGAGGTTATTAAGGCGCGCTTATGAACAAGCAAACAAGAAATTCCACCGAATTTCCTAATATCTGCGCTGACACGGCCGCCACTGTAGAAACTGGTAAAATTGAAAAAAAAAACTGAATTTGAAATTGGGTGTCCGGGCTTGGTATCTGGACCAGCGAAGATTTTACAACTCCACTATTTCAACTCTGAATAGGCATCTGTACTCGTCACCTCTGGGTGAATTGAAATCGACAAGCAGTGAACTTCTTCACGGTAGAATTGAGGTTAGATAAAAGTGTCGGTGGAAAATTTTTCTACCCACACATTGCAATCGGCGTTAGTTTAAGGGTTTCTCATCAATGTAATGTTTTTCAAGTGGAAGTGTCAGGAAGGCGTAGCTCTACTACTCCAGAACGACATTTCAATTGAAAGCATCAGTATCTATGTGGACAGCAAACGGCTAACCTGCCTGCGGATGCACCTGCAATGTCTTCAAGGCTAGTAAAACAATGCCCCTCTTCCTCACGATAATGTCGAGAAGTTTTTTAACAATGGTGATTTAGCTAAGGTTTCAGGCTGCTGACGGTTGTGATTGCCTCTGGCTAACTGTAGCCTTCTTCCATAAAATTGTACCGGATGTTAGTTTGGCGAACGTTGGGAAATTCCACACAAGTTTCTTATGGCCTGCGATGGGTCGCGAAAGATTGAAGGATCTTTTAGCACTCACCAAACCTCTTACTTCGCTTTTGATACTACTATTGTACATATATGCGGTCGGGTTGATCCTTATGACGGGAGCTAAGAGAAAGTTAAGGTGGCGGAAACCTTCCATCTTACGCTAGACTAAGGCTCAAATATTTACTTTGCATCTCGTATTTTTAGCAACTCAGGAACCAAAGTATGCAGTCCTTCGCGGGCTCGTTATTGACGCGAAGCGTTGTGTGAGGGGACCGTTCGGTAAGTGCCAGAGAGCTATATTGTGGAGCGATTACAAATTTCTGTAGGAGATATCATATCATGATCATTTGAGTGATTGATTATTTTAGGGATTTCATATGCGATGGTGTGCGACTTTCAACAATTTGAGTATCTTAGATTTTGTTCAAAGTTACATACTCCGAACGATTGATGGATTTTTATGAGGAGCTCGGAGGCGCCGACAGAACCAGGATTCATACCCTGCCCTTGTAATTGCTAACACGGCTATTCAGGCTGCCTAAATATATATATAGCATATATATATACGCTGAAGCGATTTTCGGCCAAGTTCCTCCTCCAATTTGTGGTTTTGCGTCTTGATGTTTTTCCAACAAATGGAGGAACCTACAGTTTATACCAAGCCGCCTCCGAACGGCTGATGGCTTTTTATGTTATTTTATTTCATGTCATAAATACACACGGAGGAATTGATATTTCCTGCCGAGGTGCCACCGTAATTAGAAAATTTAACTTAAATTTTTATTCAAATTAAGTTTTTATAACTTTTGGATGTTGGTCACAAGAGGATTTGAGCCCGGGCCTTCCGAATGCTAGTAGGCAATGCTAACCAATGGGTTACTGCCTACATATAGAATATTAAAAAAAAAAAACAGTTCCTTAGCTCTGCGCATTTCGTGGCAGCGACAAGTGTTTGCATTTGCGTCACGTCTACCAGGGATGTTGAAAGGCATTGGGCCTTGGGTGTCCTCATCAAACCAAATCGCTAGACTTTGCAAGTAAAACTGCCAGCAAAGTCAGTGCAGTAAATAAACAGCTCAACCGAGCTATGTATTGCCTTCATTTAAACCATGCAAATTATGAAAGAAAAAGTGTGTCAATCACCAACGCAGCCGCTACAAGACCGCCGTACGTCCATACTATACAAATGTACCACAATTTACAAGTGTTTGCCGACTGTCAACACCGCCGCGGGCCCCTCTGAGATTGTCAGTTGTTGGTTGGGCCATTTTATCGCACATATCGTATGTATGTCCATACATTCATAATATTAAGCTCGTTGACGCTGTCAAACAAAGCAGCTTGGCGCGCAAAATTCCATTACAGCAACTAATGCTTGTGAGTGGAACCACATGTATGTTTGTGCACACATGTGTATCGCTTTTAAAGGTTATATGTGGTCCTTCATTCATGCTGCGAGGCCGTGGCCGTCAACTTAGTGTTCTCCGCCTCCTTCTGGCTGCTTTCGGTTATCATGATGTTGCTTCAACATGAGGAATTCATATTTTATTTATGACAAATGCAGCTGTTGCCCGCATTTAAACTCGCATTTGACAGTTGCCATCCTACTTTATAGCGATTTATGTGGCGTGGATACATTTATACATACAGACACTTGCTATATTCAATGTTGTCTCAAACAATCAAGGACAAAGTAGGCGTTGTAATGGAAAGATATGCTTCCGTGTTGTTCGCTCAGTGCAGATAAAAAGGCCCTTTTGGTGTAAGTTCGAGCAGCAGCTCAACATGGCGTATACGCAACTTATATAAAAGCTGACACAGCCAGACGGGAAATAGCAACCCAGCCTTTTGGTACTCGGAAGGAAAATTATTCATCGATTGTAAAGATAAAACAGTTTCTGTAACTGAAGAATACTACGCTTCAATATTAGAGCGCCTAAAGGACGAAGCAAAGGCTCATCCTTCAACCCAGACCTGGCCCGAATCATTGGTATTGACGCTTTACAAAAATGTAAAGGAACTGAGTACCAAAAACTTTATCACCGATGACGTAGTCAAGAAGACAGTTTGAAGATAAAAGGAAACCATATTTTTACGCGGGTAGAAATAAATGAAATGAAAAATCTGAAAAAATATCCCACTTGCAGGGGAATATATTTAAATAGAAAATAATTTGATTTTAATTTCCATTTCGTGAACAGAGCCGGTAATTCGAGCAACCATGGATCGGTTTCGCACCACGTTTAGCCCAGTGGAAAGTTCTCAGACGTACAGTGCATACCAAAGACGCAATTGCTGTGGTGGTCGCAACAACTGGAGCTGTGTCCATCCACATTATGGAAGCTTTAGTGGCAGGATTTTGGCTTAAGGACTTTAAAAATCGTACTCGTGCAAGAATTGAAGCCAAACGTCCATCAAGCGTGTCGCACGTTTCGTGAACACAATTGTCACAGTTGAAGTAGTGACGACAATCCACAAGCTACTGTTGAGACGGTCCATATTTCTTCAAAAATGAAACCGGTCATGATGTTAATGGGGAACGCTCCAATTAATAGCATTTTCGTGCCTGAATTCAAAGATGTGGATGTGGACCACCCTTCGTTCCAACAGTGTGAAGCTACATTCCATACGGCCAACGAAAGAATTAATTAATTGAAGGAAACTTTTGGTGAAACCATTATGTGACGTCGTGAGCTTGCGGTATGACATCTAAGATCGTTCAATTTGAAGTCGCTGGACTATTTTTGGTGGGGTAGTTTGAAGTCGCTTGTCCACGCCTTAGGCAAACGTGGCGCCCAGAAGGAGAATAATCTCGGCTGGAATTTATTCGCGTCAGCCTTATCTTTATAATAAAGTTAAATTCATCGCCATAACATCGAGTTATTATTAATTTCCAAACAATTCATATTTTTTCTAATATTTTCACTTTAACAGTTAGTTCAATTCAAATTTGCATTTAACCAATTTGCTGACTATTAAATTACGATTTCTCTTTGCTTAGCTTAAGTGCCCACGCCTCGCTGTTACTATCGATTTTGATGCTTTTCCTGGAGATTGAAATCAGAGAGATGCATTCACATTGTCTGCCAAATTCATTTTAGTGAGAATTATTATTTTTCGGTTCTTTTTCCTTTGCTTACTTTTTTGCTATCGAAGAATTCGAGATATTTCAAGGAAATTAAATTACATGCACGAGCACGAGCAGCAGCACACTTCTACATACATGCTTACGCCCAATGTGAAGGCGTAGGGCACGTCGTAAATGCAGTTGCAGCTGTAAGAACACTCAATGGTCAATGGTAGTTGAGTTTAAAATTCCATGGAAATGTTAGAATAATTTGATATTAAATTCAAGAGAAATGTTATTGAAGTATTAATATCGATTTTGAGACAATTTAAGTTTGGAAACGAAAATAACATTAAAAATGATAGTAAAAGTGAAATTATTATTCAAACTCTCATTATAGAAAAGATAAGCTTGCACCTTTAGTGGGTGCGCTGAAGAGACGTTTAGTTTTTCTGATTTAGTATTCATTTTATATGAATTTTTTCTGGTAGCAAAATCTCGCTCTTTTTCGCTTTTAGGCTTGTTCAGTAAATTTCTTTCTCAGCTTTGGCTTCGAACATAATAGGGAATGAATAAATTTATGACTAAGAACAGAGGAAGAAGAGAGAAGGAAAAGAGAAAGCCTGCTTACACTATCCTTCCTCTACTCGTGACCATTTTTAGTTTGAATGTGTCACGGGAGAGGACGCCAATGAGTGAGATAAGAAAGTACTAAAAATTTAAGTGGCTTATTAAAAATATTTTGAAATTTGTTAAATATTTCTTTTCTTTTAATAAATTTTGTTTTAAGAATTTTATGCTCGTCTACTTAACACCAAACTCAATCTAAGCTGTACAGCACCCCAAATGAAGGCAAAGTTTCGGTGAGATTAGACAAAAAATGCTTGCCTACATTTAGGATGGTGCTTAATACTTACTAAATGAAAGACTTCTCAAGAACGAATTCGAAAGGTTTTCTGGTGCAACAAATTCTAGTTTTTACCCAAAACAATTTGTATTAAAAAAATGATTTATGGAAGAATTGCAAACTTAGCTTGATTTTGGCAAACTAAAACACTAGATTTCAATTTGGTTTCAAAAGATAAAACTCGATTTCAAATAGAGTTTACGAAGGTACTGATTATTGTTCTTAATTTCCATTAGATTATTTAGAAGCAAAGACTAAAAGCAATCAAGTTCTTCTCCCCCTCATTTGTCCAACGAAGTGCAGGTCTTCCTCTTCCTCTAACTTCATCGGCGAGTTCTGCTTTGAATATTTTCAAAGCACGAGTGTTCTTATCGATTCGGGCTCTAATGTTGCCATATAAATTGTACAGCTCATCTCTCCATCAACTGCAGTACTCAATGCGCAAAGGACCATGAATCTTACGCCAAAAGTTGCTCTCGAAAAGAAAAAATTATTGTTCAACGTCAGTTTACTCAGCTGGACAATTTTTCAAAGGTCACCAAACTCCGACAGGCAGCTTGTTTTAGTGGTAGTAAAGACAGCTTTAAAATCGACGAAGAGGTGGTATGAGGCGTTCCACTTTTGACGGGTCTTCTCCAACAGTTTGCGCGTGGTGAAGATCTGGCCAGTTATAGATTTTCCGAATCTGAAGCCAAGTTGCGATCAGTACGTTGACGGTGGGCTTTAGTCTGAGAAGACCTTAGATGCAGACTTATTCCACGATGATTGACACAGACTGTAGGGCGTCTCTCTGTGCGGATTGGGCATAGCACACTTTGGTTCTAATCGTTAAAATGACTATTTTCAATAGTGGTAGCATCGCTACAAAACTTATCGGGTGGCCACTCCGAGGCTATTTATGGTGAAAATGATAGCATCCTTTAGGGATTTCCCTTGAGGATAGAATAGGCTCGGTAGTTTGCTTGAAGGGGTGTTTTCAAGTAAACAAAGGGTTTCCACAAGGCCTGATCCTTTGTCTTTGAGTAGACCGCAAGTGTTAAGAGGTGCAACTACTCTACAGAAATGGCAGAGGGGCTATTTTTTAAGAACGCCATAAGTGCTTCAAAGATATGCGGTCTCTATAGAGTAGTTTGTGCGATCAGATGTACGCCATTAATATTTTAATTGACCTTCGCGAGGGAACCTCTTCGCCATGGGCTCAATTCCTATTGTGTAAGATACTAGTTGTTAACCAGAATGCTATTAGTTCGCATGTATAAACTAAATAATTCATCTTCAATGCTTATTCTTTGTTAGCAAATGGTATTTTAAACACGGCTAAACTCTAAGAAATGCCAAATAATTGATTCTGCATCAGCTCCATACTAGTTGAATACCAGTTTACTTATGCATGTTGAATTTCTACTTTGTAAAAATAAAAAAAGGTAATTTGCCTGCAGCGAGAACCGAACTGTCATGTCTGAGAGTGACAGTCGCTAAATAGTGCTCAATACTGGTATGAGATCTCATCGAGCATACGCTGATGCTGTATCTGCTGCTGAGGAAGATGAGGCGAAAAACATTGTATTCTAGTTCCCTTAGTTAGTATGTCTATTAGATAGCTCACAAGTTTAGACAATAACACTGAACGTCTTTTTTGCTGCTCAAATAAGTCTCATCCCATTTAAGCTGCTAAAAAGAAAGATATTGATGAGAGGAGAATGCAGAAAAGGAGGCATATTTGTTGCATGCATTTTAACATGAAAGAAAACCCATCCGCTCACATTCTCCCAAACCAGAGCCGATTGAACCAGAGCACGAAAAACGAGGCTAAAATAAATTTCGCAACTTTAAGTCATTTCAATAGAACTTTTCACTTTTCTTAAACACACCTTGAATATAAGAAAAAGTTTATTAACGAGAAATTGCTTTTCAAGGGAAAAGTTAAAATAAATCGCCAACATTAAAAGGAAATCCATCTCGCTGTGGTTGAGTTTATACACTTCCATCGACGTAATTAACGAATAAAAAGCGAAACTTTTTCAAATCCACCAAAGATACGCGGTTTTGGTTTCAACGACCGTTATATGCACTTAAAAAGGCACAAAAATAGAAAATTTACAAACGAAGGCATTGGAAAAAAGAAAAAGTCCTTCAAAAAAAGTTCTGTTTTTGCGGCTTAAACGCAAAATAAAACTTACCCAGCTGGATAGGCCAAGAGACCGCTAACCGGTGAAACATCCAAGGCGGCATTGCTGCATACTGTGAGGCCGAGCACTTTTTTGAGCTTTATCTGCAATTGAAAAAGAGAAAAGAAGAGAAAAATATTGGTTAGAACGGCAGAACAAATGGAAAATTGAGAAAGCGAAAAAAAATGTTAAATAAAAGAGGAAAAAATTTTGGTTTTGAGTTTTTTTTTGCTGTTGATGAAATACAAATTTCAATCGATAGAGGAGGTAAGAGTCAGAGTAATGTATATAGCTGTCATGCACATACAACAGCACATCGCATGCTTGTTTATTTACAAAAAAAACCGTTTGATCGTTGTTGATAAAAATTCAATTGCACATTCATTCCTTTTGAGTACTTTTTGTCAAATTTAATTAGTCTTTAATATTTATGAGTTGAATTTAGATCGGATGCAGAGTGAAAGCACATTTGATGCATTTAGAAATGCAAAATGGTGGTAAAAGGTTGCCAACTGTAGAGTTGAAAAAGTTAATGATGTCGGGATCCTTACTATAGAAAAGTAGTTGTTAAAAGGGTTGCCACCTTAACAAAAAAAAAATCATATCGACATTTAGGCATAAATGAATTGTTTACACTTATAGTTAAAAATATTTTTAAAAATTATTGCTTTCATTTTCATAAACTCTAATCCAATAAAAAAAAGCTAATTTTAATTTCTAAGGAGGGGTACCATCTATTTATAAATTTTAATTCAGTGGTAATTAAGTTAATTCAAGTAACCTATTTAACAGTTTTAAAAATCTTAAAATGAGAAAATAATTCCTTAAAAGCGTTGCCACCTATTCGTAAAAGTATATTTCAATAAAAATGGTAATTTGAATGTACTTGACTTGCGCTTTAAAAAATTATCAAAGCTAAATATGCCTCCGCGAGGGTTGCCAATTATTCATAACTTCATTTTTATGCAATAAAAATTGTTTTTTAAATGAATTACAGATAAAAACTGATTTAAATATGATTACAATTGAAAACTTTAAATTTGCTAATTTAATGAAAATCTTTACTGAATTTTTGCTTTAGGAAGGAATCGAAAATGTTTTCAAAAGGTCTACTATCTAGTCATAAATTTTAATTAAAAAAAATACTTATAGTTCGGCTATTGCGTCATAACGGTTGAAGAAAGCTTGCAATTGTAAAAATTTTTGAGAAGAGTTATTACCAAGTTTAATTCATTAATAATTGTAACTTTGGTGAATTTGGCTATTGATTTAAACTGGTTTTAGAATGCTTAAGCGCGTAAATAATTTTTTGTGGAGTTGCCATCTGTTGTTTTAATTTTAATTTGATAAAAATTGTTGTTAAATTTTTTTTCCGAATGTGCCTATTGCCAAACGGTTTTAGTTGAATATTTTTTTCAAAGATTTATACATATTTTTTTTATCTTGATAAAATTTGGTAATTAATTTTTTTTTTTACAATTTGGCTATCGAACTAAGCAGGTTTACAGTTGAAAAAAAAAAATGTTGCGAAGCTACCACCTATTATTATAAATTTAATCACATTGAAAAGCTTTAAGAATATTTAAAGCTGAAAAATATTTTTTGTAAAGGGTTACCAATTATCCATAAATTACAATTGAATTGTAAATAAATTTTTAAAATGTGCCACCATATAATAACAGATTTAAGAATGCTTATAATTGGAAAAGTTTTGGGAAGAGTTGCCATCTACTAAAAAATAATTTAAAAAAATTTTATTTAAGTAAAGCTGGTTATCGCGTTAATCAGATAAAGATATGCAGCCAGTTAAAAAAATGCTGAAAAGGGTTGCCAACTATTCATAAATTTTAATTAAATAAAAATTATAGTAAAGTATTTTTGGAACATAACTTATTGTTTTTAATAACCCTTAGAGTTGAAAATACATGTCTGTAGGGTTGCCACTTACTTTATTTTTTTATTTACTAAAAAACAAAAACAGCATAGATCACAAGCTATGGGTTGTAAAATCTCAAAAAAAAATTTCTTGTCACTGGTTTACAAATTTTAATTTAAAAATATACAAAAAAATATTCAATATTATAAAGGGGTATCAAATAAAATTCATACGCAATATGCAATAAATGCCCACTTCTCAAATAAAAAAATATGTAAATTAGCGTTAAAAAATGTTTACCGTAAATAATGCAACAATAAATTAATGCAAATAAATTAGCAACGTTTTTACACTAAACAAACAAACAATAACATTGGGCTTGTCCAGCACGCCAAAATGCTTGTTAGGGGTATGTCATGCGCAGTCGCAACAAGGCACAGTCGCCAATTGACTCGCGCTGAGCACAAATAAAAATAAATATAAACCAGCTGACATCAGCTTGCAGGTAAATATGAATAGAAAGAAAATAAAAAAAATTCTTAATAAAAAAAAAATTAAAAAAATATATTATTATTTCGAAAAGAATATTTTATATTTACAATTCTTTTTTTAGAATTTTTTCATTTGTTTTTATTAAAAAAAAATTTTTTTTAAGCATTTTACAAAATTCAAGCAAGCATATCGAGAAAAAATTTACATCGATTACATTCAAACAGTGATTACGCCCCTCCAATGAATTGGAAATGTATATCCGATAACAGGCAAGTCACGTACTAGCACACATACTTGTGTACATTCCTACACTTGCATTTAAAAATCTATATGTACCACAAGTCTTTTAAGCCTGAAAAGCCTTCCGACGATTTATTTACATTTATCATTCGTGTATAACCACCGCCAGCACAGCAAGCGGCAGGTAATGTGATACTCATAGATACATATGTACATACATACATATGTACATATATATACGCCTGCTGCGCATTTGCCATTCATTAAGTGTGTTGAAAATGATGATGAAGATGATGATTCTCAATGACTTGTTAAAAGTCGCTGTGCGACGTTGCGTATACGTAATGTGTTATTAAGATTCACCTTGATCTTGTGTTTACGAGCGTAGCGTGAGCAGGTGCTGAAAGCTGAAATGCTTCACTTGAGGCAATATTGTTAGTATTGTAATTTATACCTATACTTGTTGTTACACAACAAATAAGCATCAGCATAACTGAGACATGGAAAAGGTGAGGTGAGCTGAGCTAAGGCGTAGCTATAATTGTGCAAACAGGTAGTTGAAAAGAGTACGAAGTGCGATACACAAATGAGCAAGAAGAGGAGCAAAGTACAGAAAAAAATAGATATTATACAACAAATAAAAATTGAAATATGATAATATTGAGTAATAAAATTTATAGATAAAACCATTCAATAAAAGCTAACAGATGAAATCATTCAATAATGAAGTTTAGAGTGGAATGCGATTTTATGACATTTTGTGTGGGCGAAAGTGAGTAAAAATTTAAAAAAATTGTTGTAGTTTTTTGCAAATAAATCAAAACTTTTGTTAAAAAGTGTACACTTGTTTTTTTTTTTGTTTTTTTTTATGAATATTTATTTTTTGGTGTTTTTTTGTATTCTGCGCGTTAACAAATTTCAAGTTCATGAAAGTTGTTATTGTAATTTTTAAATTTATATTTTTATTAATTCATCATTTGCTCGTTAATCTTATTTACATTGGCATGACTGCCGCTTTATAGCTTTATTTAAATTTAAATTTTTTTTCATTCGATTCCCAAATAGATTTTGGGGTTAATCAAATATCAAAACCCGTTTGATTTGATTTGATTATACATAGCAATTATAAGCTCATAAAAAGATGAGTCGGCAGTAATCAAAGCTGAGCCTGTTATTTTATTATAGGTAGGATAGAAGACGAACTTGTTGTTGAATTATTGATTTAAATAAGAATATTTAAAAGAAAATTCTCACAGTGCATATAAAGAGGTGTAAAAGTATCAATAAAATGTTTAATATATATTAATTTTAAAGCTTCAATGAAATATTCTTTATCTTTATTTATTTTATTTTAAAAAACGTCAATAAAACATTTTTTACATATATAAAAATGTAAAACACCACAACGAAATATAATTTTTCAAGAATATAACAAATATTCAATTCATACAAACAACGAGGCCTCGCAGTTTACTTAACACTTTTATCAAAAAATTATATATTTTTGTATTTTTATTTAGAAAACTGCAAATAATTTTTTTTTATTTGTTTTAGTTTAATCTAAAATACATCGTTAAAAAAATTATTCAATGAAAAATATTTTTTTTATTTCCACAAAAAATATTTCAATTCCAAAATAGTATTAAATATTTTTTATATTATAAATTAAGAAGCCTTAATAAAAATACTATTTTAATTAAGAAAACATCAATAATTATTTAGAAAAAATATATATACAATTTTTTTACTTTAATCAAAAAACCTAATTAAAACAATTAATCAATAAAAGATGTTTTTTTCTAATTTGTTTTAAAAGGTTTCAAACATTTTAATTATATTTTTTTATTAATATTAATTTAAAACACCTCCTCTAAGCCTGAAAATCCTTTTTTATTTTAATTACAAAAACGAATTAAAAAATATGTTTTTCTATTTTAATCTAAACACTTAATAAAATAAAAAAATAACATAATTATTTTTTTAATCATATCTAATTTTAAAAAACTTCATTGGAATATTTCTTACATCTTAATCAAAAACAAAAAAAAAAAAAAAACAAAAAGAAAACAAATAAAAAAACAAAAAAAGGAACCTTTTAATTTAGATAACAGCAATCACATATTTTATATTTTACTTTATTTAGACCATTATATTTAAATACAATTTTCTTTATAAACAATTTGTTATTAATGAAAATGTTCAAAATTAGGCAACTATATCATATAGAACCCTCATTCGACCAACCGAGCTCTTCGGCATGGCCGAATACAGCTCGTCTTGTTTCCTTTTCATTTTATTTCATTTCAATCTTTTTATTTTACTATTGTTTTATTTTGTATTATACTAAATATTTTTAAATTTTATGTTATTATGTTTTATTTTTCTTTAGTTATTTTGCTTTTATATTATAATTTTTTATTTTTTTTTATAATCTTTTATGTTTTTTTATTTTATTTTATTTTATTTTTTTTTTATTTTATTTTTTATTTCATTTTA